AGGAGTTTAAATACTGGAGGGCTGGGAGCTTGGGTGATTGGGAAACGAGAGGCAGGTGGGAGCAATCAACAGAGACACATGCTGAACCAAATGGGGAGACAGGACAGGGTGTGACAGGTTCCCATTCCCATTTTGAATAAAATTTTTGTAGATTAAATATTTCCCTTCAAAATTAATTTTATGAATAAAATAAATGTCACGGACTATGACACACTAGGACACTATGACACAAGTGTGTGAGTGAGTCACTAAATGTCAGCGTTTAGCTCTGTGAAAAAATGAAGTCTGTTCAGACAAAAATAAAAGTTTTTTTCAAGATTATACTGTAATTACTCTGCTGTTGTGTAAAGTAATTTCCTCTCACAGCCAGACCCCTATGAACAGACCTTATTTATTGGGTATTTTGTATAAAAGAGGTTCAGCATAAAACGACTGAACCCACTGAATCTTAAATCAAACTCAGCTACTGTTGACTTTTAAAGACCATTAAAACCTAATTCACAGATTAATTAAGTAACAGGATGTGTGTTAGTGAGAGTGTTTGAAGAAGCAGATCCTGGCATAAATAACTAGCTGTTTTTCCACACTGCCTTCAAAGAACCTGAAGCCTTTTTCAGCTGAATTAGCTGATAAAGTCCTGATTAAGTGAATCCACAGAGCCTCCGGTTCTTGACATTTAATAACAGTCAATCACCTGACCTGAATGGCATTACATTAATCTCAGAGAACAAAGTAAAGAATCTTGGTGTTATCTTTGACCAGGACATGTCATTCAAATCCCACGTTAAACGGGTTTGTAGGATTTCCCTTTTCCACCTTCGGAATATTGCTAAGATTAGATGCATCCTTTCCAGGAGTGATGCTGAAAAACTAGTTCATGCATTTATTACATCAAGACTGGATTACTGTAATTCATTACTCTCAGGAAGTCCACAGAATGTAGATAAAAGTCTTCAGCTTGTCCAAAATGCTGCAGCTAGAGTTCTGATGAGAATTAAAAAGAGAGATCATATCTCTCATGTCTTAGCTTCCCTACATTGGCTACCTGTTAAATTCAGAATAGATTTTAAGATCCTTCTTCTCACATATAAAGCTCTTAATAATCAAGCTCCATCATACATTAGTGATCTGATTGTTCCATACGTTCCTAACCGAGCACTTCGCTCTCAGACTGCAGGTTTACCGGTGGTTCCCAGAATATCTAAAAATAGAATGGAGGCAGATCTTTTAGTTATCAGGCTCCTCTCTTGTGGAACCAACTCCCAGCTTTAGTCCGTGAGGCAGACACTTTGTCTACTTTTAAGACTAGGCTTAAAACATTTTTATTTGATAGGGCCTATGGTTAAAATCTGATGTTAGCCTAGATCTGGACAAGTGGGGGAGTAGAGGGAGGTGGAGTGTACAGTCGGTAAAGATGACTCTCCCTTGCCCTGCCTCCAACATGCCTCCATCTAAATGGCTAGATTATCCAGAGTTATCTCTGTAGCTATGCTGCTATAGGCTTAGACTGTTGGAGGATACACTGACCACTTTCCACACTCTACGACTTTCTTCTACAATCTGCTCTTTAACTGTATTATTTCCTGCTATTTCAGCTGTTAACTTTATTTATTCTCTAAGTATTTTTCTCCCCAGAAGAAGCTACAACAATGTTCTGCTGAGCTGTGGTGGCCTCATGGAGGGGGCCGTCAGCTTGAACACTGCTGCTAACCACTTAAACATTCTCCCTCTCCTGATAATAACATCTTACTTTTTTTTACATTGAATGTGCTCCTACTAGATTACCCGTTTAATTATAGAGTCACTAGGATAAATACAATAAAATGTATCTCTTGTCAAATAGAATATTTACTAAGAAATCACAATATAACTATAGAAACATTACTTGGTATATATGTTGTGTGCGTGTGTGTGTGTGTGTGTGTGTGTGTGTGTGTGTGTGTGTGTGTGTGTGTGTGTGTGTGTGTGTGTGTGTGTGTATGCATGCAAGCGTCCGTGCGTGTGTGTGTGTGTGTGTGTGTGTGTATGTGGATGGGTTGATGTTGGTGTTTGTGTGTCTGTCTGCTCTGTCTTCTCGATCCCCAGTGAGTCGTGGAGGATGGCTGCTTATAGTGAGCCAGGATCCTCTGGAGGATTCTTCCTGTTAAAAAGGAGTTTTCCTCTCCACTGTTGCTGCATGCTTGCTTGGTAGGAGGATTGCTGTAAAAACACTGACACTAGTCGTGACTTGATGCAATCTGCTGGGTTCCTTATATAGGAAACTTTTTTCTGATTGGCTTAATGAACTGACCTGTATTGTAATGTTTACCATGTGAAATGCCTTGAGACGACTCTTGTCGTGATTTGGCGCTATACAAATAAACTTGAACTGAATTGAATCGAAGTGATGTCTACCCACGGCTGTTTGTTTAAAACTTCCAATAAACAAACTACAGTTTTCATTCTCCCATCTTTTACTTTAAAACATCTAAATAAAAATGTCACATTATTTGCTTTATAGCTAATAGCTTCAAAGAACCTAATTAGTACCTCGTCTGACAGTCAACTTAATGGCCTCCATCGAGACGGAGGTTTGATTTGTTTTCCATTTTAATAAAACTTGATCACATCTAATGGATGCTGTAAACAGGAAGGTGGATGTGGAAGTGTTTATTTTAAATTTGAACGAAAACAACAAAAACATGAGTAACCTATTCATTTAATCATCAGTGCAAACAAACATCCGCACACTTCATTAGCATCTCAAAAATCTGTAGCTTTATTTAGAAGCGGAAGATAAACAGGAAACAAAATAACTGTGACTGTTGTCAATAATGCAAGATTTTTTCCAGATATCTGTTGATGATTCCTGCACTGCACACACAGACTTGTATGTAAAAACCAAACGCCACTCAGAGGAAAACAAGGAAACCTTTGCTCTCATCTATGTTACACTTATCTTAGGAATGTCTGTTTAAAGAAAACAACTCAGGAATCAGGAAGAGTCGTCACTGGTGACTGCATCCAGACTTCCACGGCATTCCTTCATCAAACGCTTCCTGTAAACAGCCAAGTGTTTCCTGTGTCGGGATGCATGCAGATGCATCGATGACCTCTGACTGTGTTGTGCTGCCAGGTTTCACCCTCTGCATCCCTGAATGTAAAACTAAATCCATTGATACACTCCCAGGGAATGCCATCTGTCGGGTTTTCATTACAGGCTTTGCATCAAGCTAAGACACTTTAAGCTAATAGAGTGCAAATGTTTAAGCTCGCACAGCCAATTTTCCCGTGTCACATGTTCTTATCCAGCGTCCATATTGCATTTTAACGACTAATCAGTCCACAGTCGTGAATTATCCCAGCCAACACCTGAACTCAGCACGTTCAGGATCAACTTTGCTGGCTGTTATTCCAGACGGCTTTGAAATAATTCCTGAATCTTGTGTTAAACTGCATTTTAAATTACGCCCAATCACTTGTGACAACTAAGTGGGTTGGTAATGGCACTATAATGCCCTGTATTTCTAATTAATGTATTATTAGAAGGAATTACTCAGGATTTCTGTCAGCGATCAGTGAACACCTCAAAAGACACTGTGGACAGACTCTTCTAAAAGCACTTGGGTGAATTATCTCTGGTTCTAAAAAAGCACAGGCTTGGATAGGCATCTTTTAGCCCCCAGGGAGGCTTGGTCACCCGTGAGGTGTGAGGGATTGTTTCATGTAACGCAAACGCTTCAAGTGCTGCGTGTAAAAATGGAAGGTGCTCTTGTTGTTGGATCTGGAGTGGGTGGCGGAGACGCGCTGCCCTCCGGGACCCCGGGTCCAACGGAGACAATGATTGGGCTGTGTGAAGCGGGAGCTGCAGAGTCGAAGGTCACTGGGCCTCTATTTTTTAGGTCTATACCACTAAAGTGACTGTTTAGAGACAACACATAGGAGGGGGGTTGTGTTTGAAGGCTGGAGCTGAAATCGGTTCATCCATCTTGTGTTGCTGCAGCCCTTTTCTGTTCTCGGACCTCTGGACTCAGTAAATTTTCTACATGTTAACAGTCAATCTCTGCATAAATAATATTATAGTGAAATCAATTAAAAGTTTTGTTTATACATCTTATTAGCTCAGCTGTGGTTTGGTGGTGCCATCCAACAGGGTGGGGTCCAATGTTTATTTTCCATAATCTGTAAGCTCACGATAAACAATACGCAATTTATGGTCCTTCCTGAAAAACCTTTATTCCCAAAAGAACTCGTAGAAACGTTGCCTTCTTTGGTGAAACGCGATAAGAAAACTTGTTGTGCTTCAAGTGCTCGCTTCACGTTTCTCACAATTCATGGCATGAAAAGCAACCTTTCCTGTTTATTGTCTGATAAACACATGAAATGACACATGATTTTGGTTGTTTTACAGCCGTGTAGGGTGGCGTCTCACTTGCAGCTTTTGTTTGAGGGAAGAATAAAATCGTTTTTTAACTAAATAAAACAAATGACTTCAGGGCTGGTGAAACAAATGATGCAAGTGATGGAATCAGGCATGGTCTGATGAGTTTTTTCCTGCTGTAACTTCAAGTGTCACGGACAGTAACTTCAAACGACGCAAATGATTCAGTGCAAACGTTTAGCAAGACTGAGCTGCCACTGTGGGGGAAAGAATGGGGGTGAGGAAGAGAGCTGGTGCTGATACAAAAGGTGGAAATCATGAACCTCATCTCACATCTTCCCCCCTTTCATCTAATTCCACTCATAAGCTTGTATTTTGATCTCTGGATTCTTGGCGAAATGCCCTGTTTGCAATTCAAAGGCTTCTGAACAAGAGCATCTGTTTGGGTGTTATCATAAACCTGCATGCACCACCACCACCCCTCCCATCATCTCCTCCCTCCCTTTGCTAACTCTTTCCCCCGTTTCCTCAGCCTCTTGTGTGATTCAGGAGAAAAGGGGTGGAGATGATGGGTGCTGGTGGGGCAGGAGGGCTTGTCCATGACCCACAGAGTCAATGATACATAAGCCACATGACCAACTAGTCTTCTTATCCAAGGAGAACAGGACTCGCACACACACTCTCACACACACACGCAGGACTAGCAGCGCGCTCACAGCTTCATTGAACTTGCTGCTGATTCTCTGACAGAAGAAAAGAAAAAACACTCGCGGACCTCCGTGGGAGAGCTCAGATAAAGACGTGCCTTCAGTCTCAGAGAGGTGCTGTCACACTCATATACAAATACAATTTTAGGCCAATACACACACATTCCTAGAAACACACACACACACACACACACACTGGAAAGCAAACAGTCTCTCTCTCTTTTCTTGCTCAGCTGCTCACTCTCTCTCTCCCTCTCTCTCTCTCCCCCTCCCATCCACACACACACACACGCTTACTCATACACACACACACAACACTACAGTATATCAGCGAGTGACTAGCGGAGAGCCAGAGGGGAGTGCAGAAATGAATGTGAAGATCCTGACGCTGGTGATTGTGCTCTTGGTGTCTCTGCTGTGTTCTGCCAGTGCTGGTGAGTAACCCGAGAGGCCAGCCTTGTTGCTCGTCCTCTCCTTCTGCTGCTTTATTTCTTTCTCTGTTTGCCTTCAGCCTGTGCAGGCAGCTGTAGTTGATCAGTTACCCAGCATGGTGAGTCTTGTGTGGGCTCTGAAAGGCAGGAATATCAGCACCTGGTTGTGTACAGTACTGCACTGCAGTGGTTATACTGTCTGCTATTGTACTGCTTCAGCTTTCAGTGTAAACTTAACTGAGAATTCTGGGTTTGGTTGGATATTCTCCACCCTGCCTCACCTTGATGTGTGCTTCTAAGACTTGAGGATGAAATCTGAGGAGGGATTTGTGTGCCGAGCTGCTCCTCTGAGTGACAGATATGCTGGGTGTGTGGGTGTGTGTGTGTGTGTTATGAAATATAAGATATGCATGGCATATGTTGTGAAAGGTGTGGTGGATCTGATTCATTTAAGACTTGATTTATTGCAGCTCAGTTATGATATGACAGTGATTGTGCAGCAGCACCTATAGATGTGCCTCCTGTGGTGATGATGGTGATAACAAACCCTCAGTGAGGGAAACAGATCTCAGATGGGATGTTTTTGAGGGACTCTGTCCTGATGCTTTTATCTGTAAAGTGCTGCTGGGTCTCTGGAGCCAATATTAGACTGGTTATCTATTCCTTTGTGAACCAAATGTGCATTTTATCTGGAGCAAAAGCACAAAGTTGTGACAATCAGAGAAATGGGGAATCTCTCTGGTGGCTCGTGGGAGGGGATGAGTTACCAGATATGTGGCCCGTTTAAGAGTGTGATGTGCGGTCTGCAGATGTCATGCGGGTAACATTGTGGTGAGAAAAAACAACACTTAGGCCTATGTCAACCTAAAGTCTATTCTTGGTATGCTCATCCAAACACAAACTGGACTGGCTTAGAAAACACACACATACTGGATTTTATTTCAGCTGGATGAATAGAGACAGTGTGCTACATGATTTAACATAAAATATGTTGCTAGGTGTGGTAGACAGAGGCTGTGAGACACTGTCCACTCTGCATATCGATCCACGACCACAGCGCTCCTAGCTCCCATGCTCCCCGGCACATTTGTTTCAGCGACATGCTATTTTTGTCTGATGCTTGCAGCACACAGCTAAATGGGAAGCAATTATCTAGCATCATAGCCAGTGTCGCTTTTCACGCCCTGCGTGCGGCTAAGCATGTTCCTCGCCTGAAAACCCCACCGAGATTTTCAAATGATGGCTTTTGTGGAAACCTATCCCTCTCAGCAGCCTTGTCATGCTGCCTGTTCTGCACCTTCCTGCTCCCCGGCTGCTTACTGCAGCATCCGTACAGTCATGGGGGAAAGGAGGGATAAATGGGGTGGAAGTGAGGGGCAGGGATGCGAGTGTGTTGCGGTGTTGATGGGTGTGGGGAGGGATGCTAGCTGGAGTGAGTTTGCATAGCACAAGCCTCTACTACAGTATGCGCTGTCGCGGGAAGGTGTCGGAAGAGACTCTGCATGTAGGCTGTGGGTGTGAAGCCTTTCATCTTGAGACAAACGCATTTCACGTTCAGTGGGCTTTCTCTCTCTCAGGCATCTGTGTGTGTGTCTGCAGGGAGAGAAACATAGGCAAGGAGAGAGAGAGAGAGAGAGAGAGAGAGAGAGAGAGAGAGAGAGAGAGTGTGTGTGTGTGTGTGTGTGTGTGTGTGAGAGAGAGAGAGAGAGAGAGAGAGAGAGAGAGAGTGTGTGTGTGTGTGTGTGAGAGAGAGAAAGAGAGAGAGAGAGAGAGAGAGAGAGAGAGCTAGATAAAGACCCATATAGGGTGGGGAAGCGTGCATGTGTGATTGTTCTTATTATGGTGCAGATGACTATTAAGAACTCCAGTGCAACAGGCAATTCACCCAACAACCTAACGATACTTCAAATATTCATTCATTCATTCACTCATTCAGTACACTGAGATGAGCTGCTGAGGCCTTTTCTGTGTGATATTAGCATCCTTTAGCAGTGCACTTCAATTACCCATCCTTGAATAGCACTCTGGCTCAAGAGTGGGCTCCAGCTTTAGACATGTGGTATCCATAATTCATCCTGACGCCAAACACTCTTCCACCCTCTGTGGAAGTCTCAGGACCCACCGGCATCTAAACAGTCCTCATCCTCAAAACATGTCCGTCACAGGCTCCGACAAGAAATCAAAGCTTCACTTTTCTTTTCTCTGCAATGGAAACACCCAGTCGGTCTTCACCGAGAGACTCATAAGATAAAAACAACAGCAGCTGGCTCAGACATGCACACACACACACACACTCATGCATGCACATACACAGGTGCAGTTTTGCAGCCTAGGTGGAACAGGTGAGGATGTCGTGAGTGTGAGGAAGGCACGGGGCCCAGATCACAGATTATCTGAGGTAGAAATCGTCTGCTTGGGAAGAGGGCAATTTCACCAGAGCTGTCAGCAGTACTATTATTCTGTATTAAACTTTGATGTATTGTTGGGGCTTGCTGCTTAGTGGCACCAGCATGTGTTTACACTGTATGCCTAAAAGTCTTGCATAGATGCTCAACCGGGTGTTATGGGTCAAAGTCCAGCCAAAACAATACATTCAAACACTAATTAAGCTGCATAAAGCCATAAAAGAGTTTACTCTGGGCTTGATATTTTTGTGAAACTGCACCTATAGATGAAAAAATAAACCGGAACCAGGAGGTTCTTTCTCATAATCCTCTGTTTTCTAGTGCATATAAAGTATCTGAGTGTGTGGACGGGATTACGGAGGCTGCAGAGAAAAGAAAAGCAGCTAAACTTTTCCAGATGTCCAGGAAAAACACAACAGCGGGCAAACAGTTGTGGTAAATGATAAATGACCCGCACTTGTAGAGCACCTTTCAGAGTCAGAGGACTCCAAAGCGCTTTACACTACAGTGTAACATTCATTCGTTCACACGCTGCTGCTGCTGCTGATGAGCTACAATGTAGCCACAGCTGCCCTGGAGCGCACTGACAGAGGGGAAGCAGTGGAGAGGTTATCACACGCTTACAGTAAAATCACTTTTTATTTTAGGTTCATGAGCTGGTGAGGAACAGCTGAGTTTGTAATGTACAGGCACGCACGCACACACACTAAGCAACAAAACTCACTGAGTCATGAAATCTATTTCATAAAGAACCCAGATTTAATCTTGATGCAGCTTCATAAAGAAATGGAGTCAATAGTCCGCAAAGTTTTCCTCTACAAATGTTACAAAAACAAATAACACATTCTGAATTATGATGGGACTTTTTATACTTTGTCAGCCTAAATAGTTAAAGCAGAACAGTCTTTATTAACTAAGTTGTTCATTTCCACTTAAAGCCAACATCAGATACATACCTTCATGTGAGCTGCAATGCTTCACATATGAATGCATTTCTTTGTACCATTATTTATTTTCAAGCCACACATAACCAACATTTAGAAGCAGTATCTGCTTGCCTTTTCCATAGATGCTTCTAATTAAATGCATATATTACATCTATTGTGAACTTCTCTATAAATCAGAATCAGAATCAGAATAGGTTTGTTGCCATTGTCAGTGAACAAACAATTCACAAACTAGGAACTTGCTTTGTAAAAGCAATCGTTTTGTCTCTTTTTGTTGCTCTGGAGCATACGGGCGTGTGTAAGCATGCCACAAACAAAATACATCAGCAATGATAAGGAAACATCTGAGACTTTTAAAGTCACAGTTAGCATGTTGATTCTACAAGAACACAATAAAAAACTGTTTTTGTGTAAGAAGTGAAGGGATGAAAACCTACAAGGTAGCATAAATAGTATATATATATATATATATATATATATATATATATATATTTTTTTTTTATTATTTTGGGGGGGGGGGGGTAAAAAGAAAAAAAAACACCTCAGTTCCAAGGCACAGAGGTGGAGGAATTATGACGCAACTGGAACATATCTCAATATCTATAATATTTGTCCTGAATTAACTGGAATGTCGTTGTAAAGAAAGAAGAGAGGGATGGAATACTCACCCGGAGAGACGGATGATATCAGGTATATGACGAGTTATTGTTGGAGTCAGTAGCTGGATTGTGGTCTGTGTTTATTTAACTGACATCTGACTAAATTAAATGTCTTCAACTGAATACTTTTGTAGGTTTAGAATGTGTTTTAGATACACTGACATTTAAACAGAGCAATTCTCATGTTTGGAGTATTTTAACATTTCTGTCTGTTTTTTATGTTATTTTAACACAATTGAGACCTGAGAATCACAAATAATTTGTTAAAAAATAAATTTGTTTTAAAAATCTGATTTACAATAGTGGATGTTTGCACTTTCCTCTGGTTTGTTCATGTAAAAAAGATCACTTTATGGTCAGATCAGCCTCCAGATGACTGTACATGTGTTTGAGGGAGATGAAGTACTTTGATTTAATTATCAATGAGCCAATTCCCATCCAGTAGTTTCATCACTCTGACAATCCCACCTAAATGACAAAGATAAATGACTCGATGTCAAAATTTGATTCATGTTGGCCTAAAAGTTCAAGATCCTCACTTTAGTTTTACCACAAAGCAAGGCGATCGTTAAGATGTTTGGTGTGAAGATAAATCCTTCACATCTGTTTGTTATCACTCACCGTGAGTTTCGTGAGTGATGCCCTCTAATAATGCTGCAGGGTGGGAGTTAATGAAGAGATTTGGAGGGAAATCATAGCTCATTTGGTGGAGATATGAGGCTAACCTTTGGGCTGACTGTCTCCAGAGAGCTCAGCTGTTGAAGACTTCTGCATGTGTGACTGCTGGGCTGCTGTAATGTAATTCAGAACCTTTTGAATGAATAAATCTACTCACTTAGATCTTCCCGTGAGAGCACATCCAGTGAAGGGGAAAAAAGCAAAAAAGAGTCCAAGGGGCTGACAGGAAGTGCGTTTAGATGGAAGGAAGCTGCAGCTTAAACAACGTTTTTTCATCTGAGGCATGACAACTCTTTACAGTCTTTATAATTATT